TGGTCTATCATTTCCTGAGTGTAGCTGTCACCTCATCCATTTAGGGACCCTCAGCATGCAGCTCAGTGATGCTTCACGGGCTCTCTGTTAAAGTTGATGAGAGGGTGGGAAGGACTTGAGAACTGAGGGGTGGAAAGAGTTAGAAAGTGTGGAGGAAAGATGGAAGTCCTAGGGCCCTGGAGCCTGAGGGTTAGCAAAAGTTTACAGGGCATGTGTGGCCCAATCTCAGTTGAAGGCCAAACGGAGGGGATGACATAAGGAAGAAGTTTGTCATACCCCAGAATGTGGTCTTGAGAGAAGCTGCAGAATGTTCTTTCCTGAGTCCTTGGGTGGCCTGGGGAGGGGACCTGGTAATAGACTGACTCCCTGGCTTCTCACACTCTTCTCCAGCCCATGAGCCAAGAAGCCTAGGAAGTCTTTGAAGTTTCTAGTTGTGAAAATTGGTTGCCTTCCTTGTTGTCCTTTTAAAAGCACAGAGATGTAAAAGACATGGAGGAGACTTACTTGCATATTTCTAAGTGAAAGAAGCCAGTCTGCTAAGGCTACATAGTGTATGATTCCAACTATGCGACATTCTGGAAAAGGCAAAACTATGTAGACCAGTGGGTGCCAGGGGCCCAAGCGGAGGGCAGGATGAATAGGTGGAGCACGGGGTATGCTCAGGGCAGTGAAGCTACTGTATATGATACTGTCATGGCGGATACATGACATTGTACATTTGTCCAAATCCAGAGAATGGATGACACCAAGAGTGAACCCTGATGTAAACGATAGAGTTTAGTTAATATTAACGTATCAATATTGGCTCATCGATTGTAGCAGGTGGGGACTTCCCTGGCAGTCCAGTGGTTAAGACTCTGCGCTTCCATGGCAAGAGGTACGGGTTCGATCCCTGGTCGGGGAACTAAGATCCTGCATGCCTCGTGGCACGGCCAAACAAACAAACAAACAAATCCAGGAAAGAGCATCTCACCCTGTCAGAGCTGGAAGAGCTCCAAGACCATCTGTTCTACGCTCTCACCGTACTGCTGAGGAACCGGAGGCCTGGAGGGTCCCCCACCCCCCAAGACCCGGTGGCACCCTCAGCTGGGTTCAGATGTCCGGGACTCCTAGGCATGCTCCACAAAATGGAGCAGGCCTGCAGCACACTCTCAGACCTGCTCATCTACCCCCATCTTACCCCAGCACTTCCCTGCTTCACACCTTCTCTGACTTCCCATTCCCCGAAGGGAACCACCTGCCTCCTTAACATGGCACCAGGCTTCCAGGGTCTGGTCCTGAGTTACGTCTCCGGTCCCTCCCCACACCCCCGCTCCAGGCCCCGAAGCACAGAACTACTCTCCCATTTCCCACGCCCCAGCCCTCCTCTACCTCCCCACAAGCCTGTGCTCCCTTCCCCGAGCACCCCATTCAGCCTGCTCCCAGCTGGGCTGCTGTGCCCACAGGCAGCCCCTGAGAGCCCAGGTCTGGGTCCAGCGTCCTTAGCTTCGGAGCTCTGGGTTTGTATCTGCCGGTTTCCCAGTCCTTATTTCCACTGGACTGGAGAGCGCAGACCCGGCCTAGCCCATAGCAGGTGCTTCATAAATATTTATTGACTGAACAGGGTCTATAAATATTCTTATGGGCTCCAAGAAGACAATATCAATCTCCTTCCCCCAGGCTCCATCCCATCCCCCTTGCCCCAAGCTCTTAAAGCATCTGCTCGTGTTCGGGTTTCTTTATCCCAGCCTCTTGGAGGACCGGGGACCAGAGCTCCCGCAGGCTCTGAACACGTGGATGAGGCACTAAACAGGGCAGGTTGGGCTCCTACACAGGTAGCTGGGCCCTTCTCTGGCCACTTAACACTGTGCACTGCAGGTACCCAGGGACTGATTTTCCAGCCCAGTGTGGAGACAGTACACTGCCTGCCGCAGCAGTTCAACGTGGCCCCAGTGACGCTGCACGCTCTGTGTTAAGCTTTACGGTTTCAGTGCGATCGTGCTCAGCATCCGCCCTCCCTGACGGGTAACCGCTGCTCCCCGGAGCCCTGTTCTGTCTGCTAGAGCAGGCATCTTTCCCTTGGACTTCTCTCTTTATTACCTTGGAAATGCATGGACATTAACTTTTATGCTTTAAATTCAAAATAGACAATAAAATTAGGGGAGCGGGTTAGTGTTAATCTACAGGGCTGCCTGTGGAGGTGATCTGAGCCCTTCAGAATCCTTGGAGGAATTTCTGAGGTTGTCCTGCCCTCCCTGAGCAGAACTTTCTTCAGCACTCAAGAGAGGGCTATGCTGGGAGGGAAGGCAAATGCCCAAAGGATTGACAACTTCCCTCTGCAATGGAAAGCTTGGCTTGCAGAAGCCAGGGAGGTGCTCCTGGCAAGAGGGTCTGGGGGAATAGGATGGCGCATCTCAGCCCGCCTGCAGACCAAACAAGCTTTGTCTACAAACACTTTGGAGGGTGGTGGGGACCAAGGCAGGTCAACGGCGCCTAGAGCTGCACTGAGTAAATCACCCACGTGACACCCCGTTTCACAGTGGGGAACAAGTGGAGAGCAGCGGCCATTTGTCAGACGCTTACTGTGTGCTGTGACTTCCATTAGCTGTCATCCTCACTACAGCCCAGCGGGGGAGGCAGCGGTAAACCATCTCCAGTGTCTGCATGAAGAAACTGAGGTCTGGGGTGGGGGGCAAGAACTCGTCCAAGTGCACAGCCCGTTAGTGGCAGAGGCAGATTTTGAAGCAGGTGATGGCCCGTTCCAAAGCCAGGGCTCTCCCGGCATGCCGCACCACTCTGCAGGGGTTGCCTTGGGACCCAGACGTCCTGGGAGGAGGGCTGCCTAGCATAGCCAGGCGTGGAGGGAGGGAGCAAAGGAGCAGGCGAGCCCTCCAGGCCCGGCAGGCTGTGGCCTGTGAGCCTCTGCATGTCACTCCCAACCGTCCAGGTCTGCTGTGTGCCCGGGGGCAAAACACTTCTGCAGGAATGCAGGAGGCAGTCCTGTCCATGTGCCAGCTGCTGGGATGGCTGTAATTAAGTGGAAAAGGCTCTAAAGAGCCCACACCAGCCAATCACAACCTTGCAATTCAAACAAGCTCCATGGAAGTGAAGTGTGAAGACATCCTGTGACTTCTGCCTGGCGTGCGTATGACGGGGAGCCGGTCAGCCGGAAAACCGCTGCCCTGCAGTTCCTGCTAACAGGCACTTGTGTAAACACCTCAGGCTGACGCCTTGGAACACCCCGGTTCTCAGCACGCTCCTGACCGTTGCCCTGGAGATGCCTCCCTCTCCCAAAGCACAAAGCACTTTAGGCGGGGAAGGCTCTCTCCATCCAATTCACGATACAGCCCGGTGTGTTCTCATCCCTACTAATTCCTGGGGCAGGGGGAGAATGATTCTCTTTATACCCAGAGGGCCTCCAGGACTGTTACATGAAAAGAGCCAGAAGCATGACATGCTTGGGATAGCGCGAGGAGGTTTTCCTGCCACAGAAGCTCACTATAATGAAAAAAAAAAAAATCATGGTAAACAGTATTTGTGACTGAGACTCTGATGTGGCCAGACACTAAAGGGACTGAGGGGAGGATCCAGGTAATTCGGTTGGACCTCGTCTCTGTCACTGAGCAGGCATTTCCTTCCTACCAGCCTCTGTGCTTAGAACAACGTTGACACTAACACCTGGATGTATGTTGCGCCTGTGCTACCCGTCTCCCAGGTGTGGGGGGCTGAAGAGGCATCCCTGTGCTCGGCTCACATGCTGCATGCTGCTGCTCTCTACTTTGGGAGAGCATTTTCTGGAAGGAGGCGAGGCCAGGCCCCAGAGACAGCCTTGCAGGCTTCTTTGGTGGGAAATGAGGCACTTACCTGGTGGTCTCTGAGACACACTCTCCATTTAGAGGGAAGGAGGGGAGGACAGGTGTGGCGTGGAGAAGAGCTGAGACCTGCCCGACAGGGACCCCGGGAAGGCTGCTGGCGGCAGGGGGCAGGAGGCAGGAGGGTGTGGGCTGCCCACAGTGAACTGTGGACCCCGGTCCCACCCAGCCACCTATGCCGTCTGTCTTTCAGCTGGCCAGATGGAGTTTAAGCATCCATGAAAACCAGCTTCCGGCACTAAACAATGTTACAATTACCAAACACCTTTACCCACTCGCTCAGCTGTTGCTGCTGGTGGCCCTGCTGCCCAGGGCATCGGGCCGGGCATGCCCTTTCCTGTTCCCTCCCTCCTTCAGCCTCTGGTTCTGGTCCTCCGCTGTCTCCAACCCCTGGGATCACTGCCACTGCCCCTCCCTGCCCACCCAAACCCATTCCACTATTGAAGCCACGCTTCAAACTGTCATTTTCTTTTTAATTTTTAATCAGTCTGTGTCGAGAAAAAACAGGATTTGATCAAGCTTCCAGCTCTCACCGCTCTATCAGCATAGCAATTTTATGGATCAGAGTTTTGATTGTATTTGTCTAAAACCCAGAGGAGAGATGGAATCAGCTCCACAGATCAACATGTATTCGAAGAGACACTTCAAGACTTGGGAAATGTTTTTATCAATCATTTTCTTAGGAACGACACCCGGTGGGCCCCGGGAGGGTGCGGTGCGAGTGATGGATGGACAGGTGGGTGAGACAGCGGAGGCCTGGGAAGCAGGAGCGAAGGGTTGTCTGTCTTCGGAGGCTGCGGACTTCGCAGGACAAAATAAAAGGGGGGAAAAAAAATCCAACCTCACATTTTATTTGGAGGTGGAGGAATATGTTTTCAGATACAATTTCTGTTTTGGAAAATTAAATCTGTCTGAGTTTGGCAGCGGGGGCAACAACCCTAATAGTTAACTGGAGATGGGCTCACGACTCAGATAAATTGTCAGGTGGGATCTTTTAAAAATGCCGAAACAGGGCTTCCCTGGTGGCGCAGTGGTTGAGAGTCCGCCCGCCGATGCAGGGGACACGGGTTCGTGCCCCAGTCCGGGAAGATCCCACATGTCGCGGAGCGGCTGGGCCTGTGAGCCATGGCCGCTGAGCCCGCGCGTCCGGAGCCTGTGCTCCGCAACGGGAGAGGCCACAACAGTTGAGAGGCCCGCGTACGCAAAAAAAAAAAAAAAATGCCGAAACAAAACATTACCTTGGTTACTTCTGCACCATGAGATGCTATTTGAACACACTCTGACCATGTGTAAAGTCACAAGATTTAGCCAATGCCATGGATCCATGTGCTAGACCATGAATACAAATACTGATGATATTTCACCAAAGGACAGCACGGAGGACAGGAGCCCTACTTTTTGAAGAAACTTCCAGAAAGCCGAGTCTGTCTGAGTCTTTCTTTTCCTTTCTCAGTGGAACCGCCACATCCCGCTTTAGTCTTGCCTTGAGCAGAGCTGTCCAGCCCGAGGAAGACTGTCCAAAGGACAACCCAGAATCTTCCTTGGGGAGCCTGCAGGGGACGCTCTGCTGCTCTTCCAGCAGCTCAACACAGACTTCCTGCAGAGGCTGATCCATCCTAATTTGGCGTCCAGAGACAGTTTGAAGCAGATTTTAGAAGCGGTTTACATAATGTGGCGTGCTTTCAGAGGAGGCGGGTAGTACTCATAAGTCAGCGGGATGTGGGATTTGGTGGGATATGCATGGAACCGTCCGTCCCATGTTCCACAGCACAAGATGCACTTAACACCTTCATCCAGGACCACACAGGGTCTCCCCCCATCCTTTTGGTTCCTCACTGGTCTCGGCAAATCCTCAAGTTGCATTTAAAAGCACTGCCACTGCCCTTTGTGTCAGCCTCAACTGTTGAGTCTGAGATGTCCGATGTGTCACTGTCCCCATGTTGATAAATTAGAAAACTTCCTCCATCCCCCCCAAGCTCTGTCCTCCAGAGGCCTCACTCCAAAGTACAAGGTGCCCATCCCCAAAGGGGCAGCAGAATCATCGGGACTTTTTCCAGTTATGGATCTTCTTCCATTAGAGGGATCTCTGTAAAAGAAGAGATGGTTATTATACTAATACACCGGAAAACACCGCAAAGATCTGGAATCGTGAGCTTTAGTAAAATGTCTACAGTTCCTACAAATCAGCGAGAAGAAGAAAATGCTAAGTTCCACGTATCAGTTAACAAGCAAATAAACCAACTCCTCTGTACAACATTATTTGCTGGAAAATCTCATACTCAGCTCATAAAAAATAAACTGTTAGCCTTCAACCATGCACCCTAATGGTCATACCAACCGAAAGGTTACAAGTTCAAGTACAGAGAGGCAGGGTGGTATTGGAGAAAAGGAACTCTATGAGGAACCAGGAGACCCCCGTTCCCATGTGGTTACTGCTACTTACTGTCAATATAAGCTGGAATGAGTGCTCTCATTGGTAAAGTGGTGCTGGTGTCCCCTTGCCCCGGGAAACACAGCCCTAATTAGTCTGATGCAGTTTTACTATTTTGCCATGAGCTGCAATCTGCCTTTCCTTGCAGTAGGCACATACACATCTTTTACTTCACCCCTGATAAACATAACCTGTATGCACCCAGAGCTTCTCCAGGGCTGGGCCCTCGTGCCCGCATCTGGGTCTTCCCTTTTAGCACGTGTGTGTTACCTTGATCCCAAGCACCACTTTCAGAAGTCCTGCCTAATTAAGGGAGAAAGAAGAAAACATCCTGGATCATACGGATGCTGTGAAAACCAAGTTCCGCCCACTGTGGCCTTTCTACTTTGGATGGCTTGCTGCTCTTTTATGCCTCCAGAAATTTCAGTTAATGGGCTCATCACTTGTGAGATGATGATCATTTCTTCCAATAACTGGCCTTGCCCACGGCCTCTACATGCAGAGAGATCAAGATGCAATTTAAGCTGAGCGACACGGTAGTACTGATTTGGCCCTGAGCTGGGAGCAGGGTGGGGCTGTGCAAGGGTGGCCCGGGCCTCGGGGCAAATGCTTACCATCTGCAATGTCAATGCCTGGGCTGGTGGATGCCACCTCCCCCGCCGTGCTGGGAGCTGTGTCAGGGTTGTCGGAAGCGGGGCGGGTGCCCCCTTGGCACGTGGGAGGTGAATACAAACTCTGGAGCAGCTCCGAAGAGCCTGAGACGCTGTCACGGGTTCCTGACTCCCCCGGGCCCGTGTCCGTGTCCCCTGAGCCGGGGTATGCTGGGGGGCTCTGGTCGTCCACGGGTAAGGGGCAGCCCTGGCCCACGGAGGACAGGTACCCTGGGCCTAAGGCACTCAAGCCGCCACTCACAGCCTCGTCATAGGACGGGAGCATGACGGGCACGCCGTCTACCACCACGAAGTCGGGGTCGCTGCTGGAACTCCTGGGAGGCCCCCTGTGGAGAGGAAAGTGGTGCTAATCTGTCAGGTGACAGGTCACCCCGGGAACGAGGCCACAGTGCCCCCCACTGCAGCGGGGGTCCTGGGGGCTGCGAAGCCCTGGGAGGAGGTGGTGCAGGAGACCCAGCCTCCCTGCCCGGTCCCCTCCGGCAGACGCTGCGTCCACCAGGGCCATACTCTGGACAGGAGAGGTTTTCTCCTCCTGCTTCCCTCCTGGCCTCTTGCCGCCTCTGGGCTCCAGTATCTCCTCATACTTCCTTCTTCCCCCCATTGGACCTCTGGCCTTGGCCTTATGGTCATAAACCTGAGAACAGGGGACTCTGTGGCCCATTCCAACCGAGCACCCCAATGTGCCCCTGCAGTGTCCCTGAGGGAGCCTGTTGGAAACGGAACAGTACCGTTAAAAGCTTGGGAAACCGTGGACCCTAATGCCCCTTTCATTTACCCCTGTGTTTCATATGCTTCGTGTTTGTTTTCTGCTACGGTATAAAAATCACTCACTTTTAGTCAAGACAGAAGAACAACAACAAAAGAAAAAAAAGGAACTCTGAACACCATCTCACTACCTGTTCCGGGTCTGTGGGCTCACAGCCGGGGTATGCTGGGGGGCTCTGAACCTAAGCTCCGCCTGTGCTGCCCAGAGCGGGGGTTCCCTTATGCTGACACACACGCGGCTTGCAGGATCTTAGTTCCCCAAACAGGGATCGAACCTGGCAGTGGGAGCTCCAGGTCCTAACCACTGGACCGCCAGGGAATTCCCTAGGGACCATTTTTAAACCATCTTAATATTTAGTCTCTATCCTGGAAACTTTGTTCCCAAGCCTATGTAGAAAAATAGCTCTACAGGCCACGTTCAAGTACTCCAGTGTACTATAAATCACAACATGTGGTTCAGCTTTCTCCTTATAACCCTTAGGTCTTCTTTCGATAGTCTAATTGCTCAATGATAGGACATGGTCCCTTGACCCATAAATAATAACGGGGAAGATAGAGAGAGCAGATGGCAGGTTGGAGAGGAAAGAAGATTCTGTCACCTCAGCTGGACCTTGGCTGTGGCCCCAGGATGGTGTCCACACACTCTGGGCCTGGCGTGGATGCAGGCGCACACCCACCCCCGACCTAGCACACTTTCACAGCTGGGAGAGTGGGGCGCTTGCAGGTTGGGGGGGGCTCCTGCCGCCAGGTTGGGGCATTGCTACGTGGGATGAGGCCGTCCTGGGGGCAGGAGGTTGAGGGGAAAAGGTGCATGGTGCTTTCTCCAGCAGCCCCGCCTGCTTCCCACCCCCCCGCGCCTGGCTGGGAGTGTGAGAGGCACGAGTGAGTTTCCTGGAGGGCAGAGTGGGAAGTGGTGAGTCCCCGGGAGACGCCTCCTCCACTAAGCAACACGCTCTTTGCCAGGGGCGTGGTACACACGACCCTGGGGGCCAGTTTGTCCCTGTGTCAGAAACAAATGCTCTTTTCTGAAGCATGAGGTCCCCAAATGAGAAGACTCTGACATGGGCACAGGAATCCAAGGAGATACTTGATTCCCTTGGGAGCCCTGGCTGCTAGCATCCTATGATGTTCGGTGCCCTGACTTCCTTCTCACGTTCACAAACTTATCCCTGTGCTTTCTTTTTTTTTAAAATAAATTTATTTATTTATTTATTTTTGGCTGCGTCGGGTCTCCGCTGCTGCGTGCGGGCTTTCTCTAGTTGTGGCGAGCCGGGGCTACTCTCCGCTGTGGCGCGCCGGCTCTTCATTGCGGTGGCCCCTCCCGTTGCAGAGCACGGGCTCTAGGGCGCATGGGTTTAGTCACTCCGCAGCATGCGGGATCCTCCCGGACCGGGGTTCGAACCCGCGTTCCATGAATCGGCAGGCGGATTCCCAGCCACTGCGCCACCAGGGAAGCCCATCCCTGTGCTTTCTAAATGACTTCTCCTTCCAGGAACGGTGACCTGCCAGCAGCAGTGCTGGGTGGCTCTTGGTTCCGAAGGGCGCTGGTGCGCTCGGTTCCGGGCAAGGGGCCAGCGTCGGAGGGGCAGGGCCACAGGCCGGCCTGGGCACTGAGAGGACCAGACCGTCTCTGAGGGACTTTGACAAGCTCCTCTCTGGTGATGACGAGAGGGAGGATGAAGACGCTGACCCAAGCTCACCTGTGCAGCCGAGGAGGATGGAGACCGCCCCCCACCCCGCCCCCGCCCGCCCACAGGTCCCACTCCGAAAGCCCAGACCCTACTTGGAGGCAGAAGCTCACCAGCCCTGTCCTGGCTCCCCATCCAGAGCCTTTTCTCCTTCCTGAGACTTGCCACGGTTTTGCACACCGGTTTTGAACCTCCGTTGGGTCACGCACCTTGGACCTTGTCCCTAATTACTTCTGTGTATTTATCCTCCCTGTGGCCTGGAAGCTCCAAGGTACGTAACTCTAGAGCTGCAGGCACATAGTGGGCAATGGGGGGACCCCTGGGGGTGGGAGGTGCAGGGTGTGCAGCCCTGACTGTGCTCCCCTTCTCTGCACCCCCTACAATGCCTGCCTCGAGAACGTTTATCCCGGGAAGGAGGGAGATAGGGGCTTACGGGTGGGGGGGCAGAAAGAGGGAAATGAGTCTGTCTCCAGCTTGGTGTTCTGACCCCAGACACCCCAAAACCTCCCAGGCGAATGTTTTTGCTTTCTCCCCTATTCCCCCTTAGAAGCTCAACTCTGCACTCATCAAGGCTGGCCATCCTTTCTCCTTGCTGCCCAAGGTGGCTGCACTGAGCCTGACCCAGGGCGGCCATGGGCTGCACTGACCTGGGGGGAAAGTGGGCCTTGAACTTGGTCTGGAACATCCTGGCCAGGATGACAAGCAACAGCAGTAGCAGCACGCTGGTCGCCGTGAACGCCACGATCTTCCACGTGGTCAGGAGGGTCTCGTGGGTGCTGGGCCACGTTTGCTCTGCCGTGAGAGAGGACAAAGCAGCTGTGAAGCTCCCAGGCCATGACGGGCGCTGGGGTTCCTGTGTGTTCGTCTGAGGGATGTGCCTTCTCTACTTCTCTGCACTCCACCCGCACTGGTTCACGTTACCATTTGTGGGCCCCCAGATGCGCTGTGTTAACAAATGCTTTCCCTGCCCCGCTTTGCTGCATCCAGGGCAGCCATCACCCCTGCTTGGGGCAGGTGGCCGTGGCCACACCTGGAAAAGCCGGGGCAAGCGGGCTGGACCGGGGTGGGCGGGAGATGGTGGGCGGATGTGCACGGGTGCCCAAGTCTCTGTCGTGTGGTCAGTACACGGGTGCTCTGAGACCAGGGGTGAGGACGGTTTGCTAGTAATTTGTTATTAAGTAGGAAGCACTGGCACTTGCACGTGGCTTACGTTTTTAGAAGTGAGTGCAGGCTTTACCCATAATCATATCATCTGTGTTCTGATATGCATCTTGGAGTGGAAGAGAAAGGCTGAGTCATGCATCGCTTGGGTCACACCCATGGGCCTGTGCCCTTGTCAGTGGAAGGGGGCAAGGCTGGGAGAAGACAGAGTGCACAGAGGCCAGGTCCTTCCATGGATGCTAGGGGTCTAGGGACCCGTTCAGAGGGTCAGCATTGTAACATGGGCATGGGCGGGTTAATACTCCTGACCCTCTGAACAGGGTTTGGAAGTATCAGCCACATGTATCCACAAAGATGAGTTTCTACATCCAGTCCCTAACACCGCGTGTGACGGGGGAGGGTGTGTGGGAGGAGGGATGGGGCTCAGGACACAGCCACCCGCCACTGTGAGTAGTTTGAACCTGGACCATCCAGGGACGCCCTCGACGTGCTCACCTGACTTGATGCAGTAGACTTGATAGGAAGGAAACCACTCCCCGTACTGGCAGGTGATGTATTTGTAATCACTGGTGAGGCTGTAGCCGGGATCGCAGTAAAACTCCACCACGGTTCCGTGATTGTAGCGCTCACATGGCCGCGGGTGGCAGATGAAATCTCCATGACTCACCATGGGAGGTAGCGGACAGACTTGGGCAGTGGGGGAGAATAAGAGTTTCAGAACCACATGCTTATCCTGTCTGGACCCTCAAAACCGAGATTGAGCTCGGAGAACACATCCCTCAGAGATGCACTGATACGTGAATCATCAGACCAGTGATGTTTAGCTGTCCCCGAGACAGTGCTTTCGTCTGTCCCTTCACGTGAGGTCAGACGGAAGCCTGCAGTAAGATTCTGAGCATTGCCGCTGTCACGTGGCATTATAAAGTACATCGTAAAAGAGAGGTTTGTTTTACACCGCAAAGAGTATGTCTACTTACTAGACAGTGTTAAGTTGCTCTATTAATAATGCATGCTATTATGTGCCAGACAACCTAGTAAATACAACTGAGATATTTATGGACAAAATCTTCGCTGAAAGGAACAGCTCTCCTGAGCCTGTCCCTGTGGCTATGGGAGAAATTTGGGACCATCCAAATCCCTGGGTGTGCCTAACCTGATCCTCAGATGCCCTCCTGGGGTTTGGCCAATGCTGGCTCCGTGCAGGCCCAGGCCACAGCCTCCCAGTCATAGGCCCCCTGGCCAGCACGGAGGAGCCTCGGGGCCTGGGCCTGGTTTGTCACCAATATGCTACGTCACCTTACAGAGGTCACTTAACCAACTTTAAGCCTTGATTTTCTCCTCTGTAAAATGGAAGTTTATTCTACCCTTGATCATGTTTTATGGTTTCTCTGATCCTCATATTCTATGATTTTAGGGGAAGAAATAGTTGTTTTCAGTTGCCTCTCTTGAACCCGAACTCTGGGTTGTCAGGTAAGAACGGTTCTGTCTGGGTCCAGAAAGATGGTTTTCGTGGAGTTTAGTGCTTGTTCACTGATTCCCACAAACAGCCCTCTTTCCTGGACGAGGCCTCAGAACTGCCCTTAAACACTCCTCAAGAAACAATCAAAGCCCAGACTACCGAGGCCAGCTTCAAACCCACACCTATGGAAACCGCTACGAGCTTTGACTAAAAAAGGGAGAGAGTTAACTTCTGAGCCTCTTCCCAGGGGTACCCAAGCCCTGGGCAGTGGAGACTCACAGGCAGGCCTCAGAGCTCTCCCCACGCAGCCACATATGCAGGGAGCTGCCCGCCCCACACGGGCCGCTGGAATGTATGTCGGGAGCTCTCATCTGGCAGCAACCTGGGCACTGGGGCTGGTCAGCAAGATGGGCCCACCCGATGGGGGTGTCCCATGGCTTGGGGCCAAGAGGCTCTTTACAGACACTCTCTCTCATTCTGCGAACAATGCCACGAGGCAGATCTTGCTGGCTCTTTTCAGAGTCAGGGAAACAGAAACTCAGAGAGGTCAAGGTAGGGCTTCCCTGGTGGCGCAGTGGTTGGGAGTCCGCCTGCCGATGCAGGGGACGCGGGTTCGTGCCCCGGTTCAGGAGGATCCCGCGTGCCGCGGAGCGGCTGGGCCCGTGAGCCGTGGCCGCTGAGCCTGCGTGTCCGGAGCCTGTGCTCCGCAACGGGAGAGGCCACAGCAGTGAGAGGCCCGCGTACCGCAAAAATAAATAAATAAATAAAATTGAGAGAGGTCAAGGTCTCCAGGAGCAGCTGGAGGAGTGGGTAGGAGCTCGGGCTGAGTTCTGGCTCAGCTCCTTACCAGCCAGATGACCCTGAACAAGTCGCTTCTCACCTCCAAGCTTCAGTGGCCTCATCTGTAAAATGGGAGCATCTGAGGGTATTCTGGGGAAGGCTGGCCAGGCCTCAGTTCCGAGCTGACGTGATGTAAGTGGGCGGTCAGGGATAACCAGGAACCGGGCATCTACAGAGAGGGGTCGTAATGAGGCAACTGCTTCCGCAGGTGATGGAAAAACCTACGTGGATGATGAGGCCCCTGAGATGAGCAGCAGCGGGGAAGCCACTACTGCCTCTGGGCGGGTGGGATGAAGGTGTCCTAGTGGCCGGGCCCCCGTGGAAGTTGGAGCCACGGAGGTGATCCTGTGGGAGATGGAGGCCGCGGAAACTCAGGCACTGCTGGAGATGCCCTGGGGCAGCGAGGCACCTGCCCTCACTCCCTCTGGACAAAGCCAGCGGGGAGCTAGCGGACCGGGGGGTGGTGGTGCAGGGGAAGGGCCAGGACTGGGTCTGAGGTCCACGGGCCCAGAGCGTTCTCTATGAATGGCGGCTGGCAGGTGACTGCGCCTCGGGTCCCACAGGTAGACACTGGTAGAGTCGGGACCGGAGCTCTGGCTTTCCACTAGCCCAGGGCATCTCCCGTCCCAGCAGATGCATGCCCTCCACAGAGCTGCCCAGGGCCACGGAGTCCCGTCACCCAATGCATTTCTAGTTCCACAAACTGGGGCTCCTGCCAAATCCACTCCCTCCAGGGTGTTCCATGATCATCCCCAGTAGGTGATCAAGACAGCAGGAGAGGGAAGGGAAGGGAAGGACGAGAAGGAGGGAGAGAGAAAAGGTACCAGCAGCATTGAACTTGTCCTGAGATGCCAGCAGGGGTTTGCAGCAAGGGCCCCTCCTTCCCCAAAGGCCTCTCTGTGAAGGGCACAGAGAAGGAAGTGTCCGGCTCCCTGCCCAGTGAGGGAGGCCACTGGGCTCTCAGAGCCACCTTCCTGGGCTGAAGGAGGCCCTGCCTTCCAGAGTGAAGGGGAGGTTCGATGTCCGCTGTGCGGCCAACCTGACAGGAGTATCTGCCACTCTGGAGGCCTCCAGGGCTTCTGGGCTCATGTGGCCACAGGGGGTCCCCCCTCCTCTGCACCTCCCATGAGCGCCCCCCAGCACTGCAGCAGCTCACGGGAGGCTGGACCTTTGCTGCGAGAGTAGGTCCTTTCCATGGTCAAGAGCGGCAGGACTCTCCTCCTAGCTGCCCTCCAGACAAATCCCCGGGAGTCCCCACAGGGTGAGAAAATCGCCAGAGCATTTTCAAGGCCCAGAGAACGTCATGAGAGGTCGGAAGAAGCCCTGTAAATATATACATGCAAGTTTGTCATGCCGACTAAAAATCGGCATTCTCCACCTGGTTCTACAAGAATGAAGTCACTAAGCCACTGGAGTCGCTGACCTTCAACACCCGGTGAAAGGAGTTCGGGGTGGAGATCAGGAATGAGGCGCTCTGTGCTCTGGGGAAAACTGGCAGAACAGGCCTTCAGACAGTTAAGAGATTTTCAGGAGAAGATTTCATGAGCCCAATTTCTTGCATCTTCTGATATCTAGAAAAGCACTAAAACCATTCATGGAGACGTCTCCTTGTGACGAGCTGCAGCCTTCTGCCAAGATGTGAGCTTGACTGTATGTATCCCCCGTCACCAAAATCACATGTGTACCGTCCTCCTCCCACCTCTTCGGAGCAGTTCCTCAGAGCCATCTGAGAGCCTGTCTCCCAGGCTATAGTCTTCATCTGGTCCCAAATAAAACAACTCACAGCTCTCATGTTGTGCAATTTTTTCCACCTGACAGTTTTCAGCAGCATTTTTCCTCACTTGGAGGATAAAGGACTGCTCAAATCATTGCCTTAACCCTGAGGCAGGTGGTCCCTGATGTGCTAAGGAAGGCCTGGGCTGACCGGACCCTGCATTTGACAAGGGAGTGGGGTGGTACAGCGTGTGCAGCCTGGCACGGGCATGGAGGGCCCCAAATTCATGTTCAAATCCCAGCTCTATACCCCGCTGAGTTGGGGGGCAGGGTGTTAGGCAGCTTGTTTAACTTCTGGGGGGTTTAGCTTCCCCGTCCGTGTAGTCAGGGCAACAATTCCTAACTCCTCGGGTTGTCGCGAGGATTAGAAAGTGTATGTAACGTACGGAACACAAAAGCCTGGAATGCAGTAGGCACTTAATAAATAACAGCGCTTAGTATTTACTGGTGCCTGAACTTGCTGAGTGCCCGTGCTGTACAATCAGGATACGTGGGTTGCACCAGGCCGGCCCCAGACGTTCCTGGAGGGAATCTGGAAGCATCTCACTGGCAGGTTTTCTCAGAGGCCAGATAAAAACCACCCACGGTAGAGGCTTTGATTCTGAGACTGTCATAATCGGTTGCTAATAGAGATGCATTTGTCCCCTAAGTGGAAACATTTATCTTCGCACTTTGCAGTGTTTCTAGTGATTGCACCTGGCCGGCCATCAGCTTTGCTCAAGGAAACCCCCCCCTCACCCGTGCATCCTGGTAGGGGTAGAGGGTCGGGAGTGTTCTTTAAACTTGGAAGGAACAGACAATCAAAGTGTTAACTATAAATTTGGGAAGCTTATTTTATTTTTTAATAACTCTTTTTTTTAAATTATGTATTTATTTATGGCTGTGTTGGGTCTTCGTTGCTGCACATGGGTTTTCTCTAGTTGTGGTGAGTGGGGGCTACTCTTCGTTGTGGTGCACGGGCTTCTCATTGCAGTGGCTTCTCTTGTTGTGGAGCACGGGCTCTAGGCGCATGGGCTTCAGTAGCTGTGGCTTGCGGACTCTAGAGCGCAGGCTCAGTAGTTGTGGCACACGGGCTTAGTTGCCCCACAGCATGTGGGATCTTCCCGGACCAGGGCTCGAACCTGTGTCCCCTGCATTGGCAGGCGGATTCCCAACCACTGTGCCACCAAGGAAGCCCTGTTCATTTCTTAATTCATTTACTTAACACATAGTTTTTGGACAACCACTGCAACTAGATAATGCATTGATCCCACCCTCCTGGGGCTTACTAAAGACAGATAAGTAAACAAATGAATATTGATGTGTCTGGGTGAGGCCTTTCCTCTCTCTGTTGAAAAACACCATCAACTCTCACACACAGGAGGTGGCCTGGGCGACCTGCCCCCACCTCCCGAGAGGCCTGGAAGGTGACTGGGACCAAAGGGAGCCGGATGTTCTTTTAGGCACAAGAAGATCCAAAATGTAAGTTGGTCCTGGCAGGGGATTAAAGAACCAGGGATGCAAAAGCTTTAAAAAGGCCAGACCACATCACTCCCCCTGTGATGGAGACGGGTCAGAGGACAGCAGCTGTGTGCACCCCAAGCCGGAGAAACCGAGGATACCCCAGACGCCAGATCAGCCA